GGCTATCAAAAAAGTTTGTTGTTCACAAACTCGGCTCGTTAAGTAGCTTGTGCTCAAAATTATTTATTAAGTGAGCCGAACACGTACATATTTTTTGAGCTCAAAATATAAATAAACCGAACACTATAAATCCTTTGTTTGGCGTTTGGTTTTTTAGCTCAAAATAAGGAAATTATATGTGTGTGTGTATATATATATATATATAGATATACACATATATATATATTAAAATCTCCACAACTCGTGTGATCATGCGGTTCTGCACTTTATTGTGTCGAAATGGTGCAGGTTCGAATCCAATTCCCTGCATTTTTTTTTCTAATTAATTTAAATGAGTTAATTTCGAGCCAAGCACCCACAATAATATGTAATGAAGCCAAACACGAACACGCCAAGCAATTTCAAAAACAATCCAATTCCGTACATATTTAATTTTGAACAAGCCAAACACGAGCTAAGCCTGAACTTGATTAAACTCAGCTTGTTTACAACCCTATTACTCATAATTTCGGGCCCATCATATGATATTATATTGGCATATGCTCGTCATGTGGCATTTATTTCATGTGTATCTCCGACATAATCCATGGCACCTACAATGATGGCTGCTAAAATATGAGTGATAATGGGTACCTTTCACATCTACAGTAGCATGTTCAAATCTAACTTCATACATCTTTTTTTCTAATTAATTTAAATGAGTTAATTTTGAGCCAAACACACACAATAATATGTAATGAAACCGAACACAAACACATCAAGCAATTTCAAACACAATCCATTTTCGAACATAGTTAATTTTGAACGAGCCAAACATGAACCAAGCCTGAACTTGATTAAACTCAGCTCGTTTACAACCCTATTACTCATAATTTCAGGCCTCATCATGCGATATTATACAGGCATATGCTCGTCACACGGCATTTATTTCATGTGTATCTCCGTGACATCATCCATGGCACCTACAATGATGGTTGCTAAAATATATGAGGGATAATGGGTACCTTTTACTTCTACGGAAGCAGGTTTTTTTATGCCTTCTGTTGCTTCTCCTGTGATGTCAAATATTGATCCTCTACAATGATAGTGTAGCCTACATCTGTTGGGACACACCAATATCTTCTGTCTGTAGCTTTCGTCAATGTCTGTATTCTCATCTTCCATTTTTCATTGTTATAGAAACCTTCCTAGACCACAATTTTCGTTGATGTTGACCTGTTATGGCTCTGAATTGATGTTGATTTCGTACATCGGCTATTTGCTCTATCTGGACTTTTTGAAAAATGCAATTTTCTACCACAATATTTTTTAGAATTGTAGTTGTTCATTGACTTCCATTGTCAGATCCTTTTTTTCTAATAGAAGAATGTTAGAGCAATGTTATGGATGTCCACAAACATGACATTGATTCATAGAGAGATATTGTAAAGGTTCTCGATGAAACTTCTAAAATTAATTCATTATCGCATTCGAGTTATTGATGATATGCTCCCCTCATCATAGAAATTTAGTACTTGCGCATTCTCTCCAAGCAATAGGAAAATTGACACAACAAATGACCTTCTAACTAGTTTCGCTGTTATAAGAAGTCTTCAAATTAGTCCCTTGTGCTAAAAAATATTGCAGATGTTTTGAAGTTGTCTGCTAGTTTTGTTTAAATTCTCAAATTTACTCGAGATTTATTTTGCAATGCCCTTTCAATCTTACTCATTGTGTATTACCTGACTAGGATTCATAAAATGTGATTAGGGCTGCTAAGGAACAAAAACAATCCTTGCCTTTTGACAAAATAATTGAACTGATAACAAGATCAACCTGATTTTATCATTTCTTTCTTTTCATTCTTTATCTAATAAAGAAAACATATGGTATTATCATTGCAGACTATGGCATCCACATTTTGGAACTTCTAAGATTATGCATCTTTTTTGTTAAGGGGCTTGATGTTGCAATTTTGAATTTGACGTGTGATTTTGCATAAACCCAAAGAAATACATCCTTTCTCATTAATAATAAAAGAAGTTGACTCTCTTTTTTTTTTGAACTGATGACAATATTTGATTGTTTCAATATTTTGGAGTATGTTAGTTTGCATCTTGCATTAGTCTTTTGGTTTTTCTGATAAAAAATAAATCTGTCGTGAGTTTTATTTTCCCCAATTTTTACAAAACGGCGCAAAAGCAATTTGGATTTTTAAATCAAATTGTTTATGTTAGATGATATAATAGAGTTTTTTTACTAGGATGTGTCCACATAAAAAGTGGGAATGCATTATTCTTTAGTCATCATGTTTGAACAATCTATAAAGAAAGGAGTCATTGAAAGAAAAAAAGTCATCACTCTGATAATTTCCAAGTATTCTTGTTTCAATATAATTGACCTAAATGTTACATGTAAGACGTAGTTCTGAAAACCACACTCTTTATAAGCAGGTTATTTTCAAGAGTATTCGGTTACAAGAGTCCTAAAGAAATATTGTCCAAATTCTATCATACTTTAAAAGCTTTAAATCATTTGATTCCTTTGATTTTGGGTTTGTATCTCTTGTCCATGTCTATAGTCTAAACATGGGGAAAGCTTGATCCCAATTTTTTTGTTCGGCTATTCTTCAACTTAAAAGGGATATATAACATCATTCACCACCCAAGAGATTTTATATCATCATTGATATGAACTTTCCTTTTTTTACTGGGTTACTCCAGTTACAAAAGATGACATGATTTTTCTCTAGTTGATCTTTCCTTCATCAGAATCCATACCTTTCAGGTTTAAAAGTTCTTGTGTCTCATCCTATACAAATGCCTCTTATGGAACATTATAAAACTATGTCCACATCTCTCATGCCTCTTGCTTGAAAGGTTTCTCCAATTTGAAAATAATGTACTCAAGATAAAATGTTGTTGTTCCTGAACTTGTATCAAAATCTAAAAAAATTACTAATCTTGGATGTGATGTAACAATTTCTACTTTACAAACTCATTTGGGTAGCAACCCATATTACACTCTTCTCATTGCTATTATTTTGATAACCATGGAATGACCAAGCACCCCTTGTATCCGCTTTCTCGCGTTGTATGCTTAAACAGTTTTCAACATCTCTTAAGATTTACCTCGTAAACCTAGACAAAATCATTTCAATCCAAACATGATATTCTAGGCTTTAGCTAATGAAAATTGAAACAAACTATGAATGTAGAGAAGGTCTTTTGAAAGAACAAAATATGAGAGCAGCTAAGTTTACCTCATACTCATCAATGGCGAAAAGCTTGCTATAGCATTTAAAATTTTGACATGCTTCATCATGGTTACAATCATCTTCCCAAAGAATATTAATTTGAATATGAATAAAATATTGCCCAGAATTTCTAAATGATAAAGCTGAGTATGCATTTGATTATGTTTATAGACCTTATGGGGGTTATGTAAGGGTTTGTTCTAGATCTCATCAACGTCAAATTATTCATTGTATTCCAACACAGCTACAACTCTTAACTAAAAGTTATACAAAGTTGAGAACAAGCCAATCTTAATTTTAAAGAAAAGTAAAATTACACACTCATTGGACATCTTGTCGTACTTAGTCAATTCATAATATTCCATCTATTTTAGCATGATAACCTGAGCAATTTTATGAGCTTGCTAATTCTTTGGTTGCATAAACCTGAGCAATATCGATGATGAGAGAGTTTTTTTAAGGAATGACAAGTACAGTTGGTTTGGTGAACCTCTCTTTGATATTGTCGCTCCCGTTCTCTAATCTCAATAGATGTAAGTGTTATTTCCACAATGACTTTGTTATATAACAGTGTCAATGCTCACTTTGCATTTCTATCGATGCCATCACCATGTAACTATGAGATATTCTTTAGGATTATTTTGAGGAACGCATGTCTAAGACCAATTCTTCACAAACTAATTTCTATAATTCCATGGATACTTTTAATAGTTCCTCCATCAGGCTAAAGGCCTTATATGCAACTCTTTAGAGATTATCCAACCTAGGAAAATTGATATAGCATAGAAAATTAGGTTTAGCATTTTTTTCGAGTATTTCATTCATGTAGAATTTTATAATTTTTTTAATTTGAAATTAGCATTATTTATCTTTTTGAATAATATTAGTTTGAATGAATTAAGTAGATTTAGAAAATATTAAATTTGAATTCAATTTGTATTTATCTCATCTTTTAAACTTATTTCTATGAATAGCGTTTTCATGGTTTGTAATCAAATCTTTTGATGAGTGAATGAAAATTGATGTTTCATTCTATATCCTTTCTATCAGTCTCAGATATTTCTGTCCTACTACCTGGTTCTTCTCTCTTGTTGCTCTTATTAGAATCAACGAATCCCATCAAATGACTCATATCTACAATCACGATTGCTAATTAAGAAGTCGGCTGGGTATCATATTCAGAAGATTTGGAGCTTTTATGCACCGATGTCTGGGTATTATCCATAGTGTTACCTCTTGGTGGCTCACAGTATTTACATAAACTTCATCAATAATTTTTTTAAGTTTATTTTTTTCATTCTTTGTATTTGTTACATCTGTGTTCCAATAAGGTGAACTTAGACTCACCTGTTATCTTACTACAGTTGTTTGGCATGTGGTGCTCTTGTATTATACCTGAAAGCGATTTTCATATTTGACCTAGGCACTTGTATATGTTGCTTAAAATAGCCAAGGTGCTGGGTGTAATGGGTATCCAGACCTAGATATGCTGTTTTAATTCAGGGTGTTTCATGTATTGGCTCATGTTTAAACCAGTTGTATGGATATGCCAACGATTTATTCTGTTTTTTTTCTGCAATTGTTGATTTACCTATTTTTACCTACAATGTTGAATTGCTTTACTTTGAGAGCTTTTTTTTGGGTGCAATATGCTTAATCTTTAAAGAGATTATCTAGCGAGAGCGAACTCATTTGAGAGTAATTATTTGTTTAATCTTAAGCTGGTAAAGCTGATTTTTTATGGTATTTGTTGTATCATTAATAGGTTGTTGAAGTCTCAACCTCTAAAACTGGTAAGCACGGCCATGCAAAGTGCCACTTTGTGGCCATTGATATTTTCAACAACAAGAAGCTTGAGGATATTGTGCCATCATCTCATAATTGTGATGTAAACCCCTTTGTGTCTTCGAGAACTGTATTTATTTATGCTGCTATTGTAATCAAATTAACTTTTGAATCCTTTTCAGGTCCCTCATGTCAATCGTACTGACTATCAACTGATTGATATTTCCACTGATGGCTTTGTATGTTTGATCATATAATAACGCTCCATTTTGATAGTGTTTGTTAACATTTAATTTAAATTGATCGATTTGTATATTTAGGTAAGTCTGTTGACTGAAAATGGTGAAACAAAGGATGATTTGAGGCTTCCCACTGATGAAAACCTTCTGAAGCAGGTTAGTGGATTCTTGCTTGAAAACTGGTTAATACTTAAAAAAATACTTCATGAATGAAATAACCAATAGTATACGGGGTTTATCAGTTGTTGTCTTTCATCTTTGTTTGGTGCATAATATTTTAGATATATTGCAAATGATTGAAGTTGAGTCATGCTGCGAGATAAACTTCTGTGCAGTGTAGGATGTCCTGGTTACATTTGAATTCTCTCGGTAGGATTTGGTGCCACTATAGCATCTGGTTTAGCTTGCATTTCTAGTAGAATGCACCTTATCTGCCTTGAGCTAATTGATGTGGATCATTTAGTCAAAGTTTTATTTTTGTGTAAAATAGAAAAACGATATTACATCTATAGAAACAAGAAATACACGCATTTTTTTGAATTAATGAGCTATTACTGTCATCATTGAAACCATCTAAACTACTTAATTCAGTTTTCTTCTCATATAAATAGATTTTTATTCAAGATATAATGCTTGGTGTTTCAAATACTGTTATGAAAAAATAGCTTCCTTGATATCTAGAGCTCATTTTCCTTTTAAAGTAAAAATTAAAATCATTTTAAGCCTTTGTTATGAGCATAGCGTAAGACAGGACAGCTTTGTTATACCATGCTGCTTTAATTGGTTGTTTGGTTGATCTGCTTGATTGGGATCATAAGTCTTATCCCAAATATTTGGAATTGGCTTTTGAATATTTAATTTCCATTCAATCTTGCCAAGTAGTGTTTGATGAGTTTAATGTATTCTTGTCATTTTGCATAAATTTTTTTTCATGTTATCTCCCTCTTCTCATTCCTTATCATCTGACACTAATTTTATCCGCTTCTATAATGTATTTTAATTATCTTCACCTATTGATTATAAGGAATGAGAAGAGGGAGATAACATGAATAGAAATTTCGGTTCATATTAGGGCGGATAAAATTAGTGTCATGATGGGTATTGATTATTGGAATTTATATAGTGGTATTATAAAATTATCCTATTCTATAATGTCATTATAGTGGTATTAATTTCTGTTCTATAATTTCTATTCATATTATATAATTTTGTTAGCTTCTCGTTTTTATATATCTTCACCTATAGATGTCATTCTAGCCATTAATACAATCATTTACTTAGTTAGCATTCCTAGTTTTGCAATAAATTTTTTTAGCATCTCTATTTTTGTCACACTTAGATGGTATTAATTCTTGTTGGCCAACATTCAAATTCATATGACATTTGTTTTACACATGTTTAAGTCCCCATGAATATGATCTTTTCATGCAAAATTCATGTGATGCCTTTTTATTTTAAACATTCGGTCTTAAGTCGAAGAATTTATATCTTTGTTTACATCTTCATGTTTTTTATAACAACCTTAATTAATTGAATTTATCAGACTTAAGTATAAGCTAATATTGTAATTTGAATGATATATGCTAATGTCACACATATTAAAGTTACAAAATAACTTTGTCCAACTCCTCCATTTTCCAAATACTTTCTTTGTTATTTAATTCTTTTTTTTTGCTTATTTTAATAGATTTCCCATTAATTAGAACGTCATCGTATACATGAATAAAAACTAATGCATCTTATTTGAATATATCTTAAAAGCATTTCTATAATCGATACAAAAAGATTTTGATTCAAATATGATTTTTTGTAAATAAAATGTTATTTTATAACCTTTGAGCTAATTTTTAACTACTAATATTATTTTCTCTCAATTATACATATTTTTAATAATATAATTTTTTTTGGGGGTCTTAATGCACATCAATTAACTCTCATAGCACAAGGTCATAAATTGTAAGAAAGCCTAGCTTAAGTGAGCTCAATTGTTTTTTGGCTCAACTCATTAAGTTAGCAAGTCACCATTTTTGGTTTGTATTGTCTTGTTTTTGTATCTACATATGGGTGCTATTCAAAAATATGAAGCATAAAAAACTTACATATAAATTAGAATGGTAAGTGTTGCCACTCAGATGCAAGTTTCTTTGTACAAATATGTACACACAAACCACATACTTATACATAAATATTCATATTTTTTCTTGAATACATGAACATTAAAAGCAATATATGATTAGATTAGCAGTAAGCTTGGAGATGGTCTCATTAGTTTTGGTGTTTGTCGCATTGGAGACTTTCGTACTGCTTGAAGTTTGTCGTGCGGATAGGCATTGTCGGTGATGACAGTTGCATGATGTTTGCGGCTTGGCGCTTCAACTGATGTTCATGTTTGACGGTCTGGGACGTGAACGTGTTGACTTCATAGGCTTAGGGCTTTCCAATACATCAGCATGGAGCCATTTCTCTCTTATTTCCTTGTGACACTGGTGATGGGTTTTCTGCTGTTTTCTTTTCAGGTTTGCATACCGTCCTTGATGCTGGCACCACCTCGCGGCGTCAGTCTCCTGTTTAACCTCTATGCCTCTTTGGCCTTCATCGTTGCATCCTTTTCTCTCAAAAGCAATAGATTTCTGTCCTTTCATGTTTGAGGTTGTCTGCGGTCTCTTCCATTGATTAAATTTCAGGGATCTTTTACTCTTGTTTCATCAGAGTCGATTTGGATTTGAAATTCTCCTGCAATGAATTCTCTGAGGGCATTGATTGATCCCTTTATGAGGTCGTCACCTTGTGCTATTGTCTCTCATATACTTCTACGGCTGTATATATTCCAAAATGTTTTCATCTACTACATCTTATTTTGTTCTGTTACATTCTTTTCTTTTCAAGAAAATAAAATAAAGAGGCCATCTTCATGTTTTTCTCTACTTCCTTTCTTTTGTTAACGCACTCTAATTATTTTTTTCTCAATTTTTTTTCTAATAAAAAAAAGCAATGAAATCTAATATCAAACCTTTTAATGTAGATCACTGGCAGCTTTGAAGAAGGGAAGGACCTGGTGGTGACTGTAATGTCTGCCATGGGAGAGGAGCAGATCTGTGCCCTGAAGGACATTGGCCCCAAATAAATCAAGCAGATTATTCCCATTTCTGAGGGCTTTGCTTTCAATGGCAGCCAACTATCTGAGCGCTTGCTTTCCATAATATCAATACAGGTAATGAGGCTCTTAAACTGCTATTTGGATCCTGGATGAGGTTCAGTGAAATGCTTAATTCTCTTTTATGCTTGATATTTTAGGACCTAAACTTTTGTTTGTGTTGTTTTATTTATATCTCAAAAAGGAAAAAAAAAACGGGGGGACTTCAATGTATGATTTTCTACCATAAGATTTTATGGACAGGAACTAAGTTGTTGTTCTGTTAGATCCATGATCAACTTGTTTAATTTTTACCATAATGTTGCTATTTTGCAAGAATTGCCTCTTGCTGAGCATCTATTATTTTTTTCTTACTGTTTTCTGGAAGCATTTGGATTTTGTCTTTTTTTTGGCGTATTGTTGGGTAAAAAACTAGTTTTATCTTTTTTAAGTGTTGCCTAGATGAGAATGATTATGTGGATGATTGGTTTTACACTTAGAGACAAACTGCGAAATAAATATATGTGTGCGAGGGTTGTAGTGACGGATGAAATTAGAGTCGTCTTAGATGGTTTGGTCACATTGAACTGCAACCATCTAATGATCTGGTTATGAGAGTAGATGTTTTAGATTCTAAAGTATGTTAAAAAAGACGAAGGTAGACCTAGGAAGATTTGGACATATAAAAACTGATCTTAATTTATTAGAATTAAATGAAAATATGACACTGGGTAGGACAATGGAGAAAAATGATTCATGTAGCCGGCCCCAATTAGTGGGATAAAGATTTTGTTGTCGTTGTCGCTGTAGGCGAGCATAGTTTGAACACCCATATTCATTATATAAATAAGAAAGGGGATTTACATCGGTATCACACAATTATTACCTATTCCTGTAATATTTATACATTACTTCAATGTCATAATCACGCTATATGTATATATTTATAATATCAGCTGTATTTTTTATGTAAGACTGAAGATTTGGGTGATATATACGTACATTGTTTTATGTAAAATATATACCACACTATTCTTATAGTTTTGCATATTTAACATGCTAAATTTATTTATTTATTTATAGATCATATTAGGGTAGGGAGATATATTAATGAAAATGTGTTTCTTTTTTTTTTTTAATTTTAAGAAAAAGAATAGCAATATTTTCTTCCAGTTCTTCCAGTAGTGATAAAAATTCAGGTTTTAGCTGTAATTCTTAATGTTTTCTATATGAGTTTGTAAATATATAAGAATTGTGATATGTTTTCTAATGTTGTTTTTTACTTTTCATATAAAGAAATGTTAGAAATGTGGGGATGTCAAGTATTTCTATGCAGTAATAGCTTGATATGAGTTGAAATGGTGTTCTGGTTCAAATTCTTGGTCTTTGAGTGCTGCTAATTGTCCGGTTTTATTGATTAGTTAAGCTTGACTAAGTGTTTCCTTCTGCTATTCATCATATTATTTTGCTTGTAAAGTGGAGAATAAATTATATTATTCCTTTGGAAAAATTGCTCACATACCACACAATTCTCATGTATTTTATGTATCTTACCCCTCAAGTTTGATATATACACTTAACAAATTTTGTTATAATAAACATATGCACGCCGCATGTAAAAAATTAATGATGCTATTATTTTATAAATATAAATTTGAAATTTAATTATTATATATGTAAATATATGAGAATAGTATGGTATGCATGTAATTAACCTTTCTCCTTTTTTTTCTTAATTTAAAATAATATTATTACATTGCCTCCTCGGTGAGAATGAAATGGGAATAAAAAGCCCCGAGCTGAACACCGTAGAAAGAATATGGGGTGGATGTTGCATCAATTACAAAGGTTGGCTTAAAAGGATGTGATGCTCGGCATTGTCGTGATCTCGTCATCGTTTTGAGGATGAATGCACCATACATTGACCACTCATTAGTATTGCAATTAAATTCCCAATCGAATTCTACACGTGCATGCATATATGACATAAGATTTCATTATAATTGGGACACCATACATGCTAATTAGATGCATGCACCGAAGATCCAACGAACGTTTCTATTCTTGTAGTTTACGACCACCTTTGAGCATTGCTTGTCGCTGTCGATCACCTTTTGCTTGTTGCAATGAAGCTCTTTGCAGAATCATGACATATAATGCGAAGTAATGAAGCACTCTATGGAGCAGTGCATCATCCTAAATATGGTGTAAAAACACACCCTAAATATGATACAATGATGCACCCTATATATAATGTAACGAAACACCTTGAAGTTAGTGTAACAACGCACCCAGAAAACGTTGTAACAATGCACCCTAACTTATAACCAACATACTCGTAATATAATAACTTGCTTTGAATCTTGAAGTTCTCTCCTCACATCTCACAACTATGACCAACTTGGTCTATAACTCATGCAACTCTCAACTCTGACCTACATGGCTTACGAACGTTATCACAACTCACCACTATGATTTACTTGACTAACTACGACCTACATGGTCAACATCACATGTAGCTCCAAACTCTAGTCCCAATGACCTACAAATGTTATTGCAGCTCCCCACTACGACTTACGTTGCCCACAGCTCATGTAGCTCCAAACTTTGGCTTTTGTGGCCTACGAAAATTATCACAACTCATCAGTACGACCTACGTGATCAATTACGATATACGTGATCCACAACTCATGCAACTCCCAAATTCGGTCTTTATGGCCTACAAACATTTTTTGTAGCTCAACACTATGAACTACGTGACCAACTACGCCTTACATGATTTGCAGCTCATGCAACTCTCAATGCGCTTCTATGGCCTAAGTACGTTGTCACAACTCACAACTACAACCTATGTGCCAATGACGACCTATGTTGCGCAAGGCTCTTGCAACTCCCTAGTACCACCTGTATACCCAACTAACGGCCTTGAACCAACCATCTACGACCTAAATGACGAACTACTACCAGGACATTCAACTATGACCTCTAGGGCAAGCTAGCGCTACAACCACAGTCTACAATATTCACGACTACTTTCAAAGCAACCAACTATAATATTTGTGGTCTGTTACAACTATTGTTGTTGAAATTTCATTGTACGTGAACTTTGTAATTTCATTTGCTCTAATTTAGGAGAGATCTGGGTCTATGTACTCAAAATTACATAGTCGATTACTCCAATGAGGCTAGTCCCCATGCCTTTTTTCTCTTTCCAGGATTCCCACGTGAAACATAAAGGTATCTCTTTTCGCTATTTTTTTTTTATTTGTGTGTGTGTGTGTGTTGGATCACTTATTATGTTGATACGCTAATTTAGTACTTCACCGTCTCAGAACTTTATGACGCACATCAACTATTTTATTGATATATAAGTTATTGCTCTCACACACACACACAAAAGAAAAAAAAAAAATCATTTAATTCTGCATTAAATAATTATGAGTATTTTAATTTAAAACTATTTTGTGCTTGCTCTTATCTATAAACTTAAATTTTTATCTAAAAATGAATTTAACAGATGTTGCGAAAGTAACTTATATTACCCCTTTTAAAATGGTGTAGATCCACACTGTTAACAGGGTGGAGAAGTTATGTACATCGGACGGATGTATAGGACATATATATATATATATATATACAAACAATTCTAAAGGCGGATTAGTTTAGATGTACCTCAGGCCGCTCATATAATAATATTCAGGACAGGTTATGTCATGGGAAACTAGGATTTCGACAGGCATCTTTATCTGGCTGCCAAGTTTGAAGTCATGTGGGTTCAGACAAAGCACTAGGTGCACATGGCCTTTACATACATACCATTTAATTCTTATTTATTTAATTTAGGACCTAGATATGTAAATACATAGAATTAAATGGTTTCATACATACTACCCAATTCCTATGTATTTACATATCTAAAACTTAAATTTTTTTTCTTGGGTTTTTTGAACTTAAATTTTTTATATCAACAACAATAACAACAACAAAGCCTTAATCCCACTATGTAGGGTCGGCTACATGATTCATTTTTCTCCATTGCGTCCTATTTAGTGTTATATTTTCATTTAGTTCTAGTAAATTAAGATCATTTTTAATACAATAAGTCCAAGTCTTCCTAGGGCTACCTCTGTTTTTCTTAACATAAGTCGAATCTAAAAGATCTACTCTCCTAATCAGATCATCAGATGGTCGAAGTTTAATGTGATCAAACCATCTAAAAATATTATTATTATAACTTAAAAAAAGTGAAATGTATCTTTTTATGCATAGGCAAGATGACATACATGTAAATATTTGTTGGATCCAAGAATGTCTGGGAAGTACACGAAGGAATTAAGCGTTACGAAGAGAGACAGAGAGAGAGACATACAGTAATGAATAGTAGAAAACACATAACATTTTATTGAAAAATGACATCCTATTTATAGACATGAGGGTATGGATGTTGGAATTACATGTTTGCCCTCTAATCATTAGTTTATGATGGGGTTCTTTTTATACATTATAATATCAAATATATTAATTGATAAGTGGAATCATTCAAACCGTATGAAACTCGATGATAGGTGGCTCCTCCAATGATCGATTTACCTCTTTGGCTTCCAGTTGGTCGTCACACCATGGTTCGATCGGTTTGCTATGGGCCGATTACCATATCTTTGAATTACTCGATCTTAAGTCTACTTTTGGGAACTTTTTTTCTCTGCGGCTTGTCGGCTGATCAGCTAATCTCCCATTTGTCATATTTCACTTAACCATTGGAGTGCCTCGAAATTTGTGCTGATATATTTTTAGTATACAAAACTGAAGCTTAGTTGTTAGATGTATAAATACATAGGGATTATGTGATCATATGCATGTGAATCATCCTTTTTTAAAACCCATATAAATACAAGGATATATTATTCTCCATCACCAGCCTTACAAATGTCAAAGAAGCTGAAAATGTCAAAAGAAACTACATCAACTTTACGATAGAAATATATTTTGAACTTTTAACTTTGCATGTATGAACGATAGTCACGGCTGGAATTATGCTTGAATTTAATTTCCTAATTTAGCAGTCATTCGATTTTTAATATATATATATATATATATATATAT